CTCCCTGGGGTATCTAGGAGGCACAGCGGCAGATTAAAAATTTCTGAACTATAAAATTAGGCTAATCTTACAAAAATGTTGGAAGATATTGTTACTAGAACCTGTAGCCCCAGGTCCTACTGATAGTTTAAGTAGGCCCTGCCCATTTCCACTTGAGATGCTCACACACACTATGCAATATGAGTGTTTGAGTCAACTTATTTAACTATATTTAAAAAATATATATATAAGCAAACAAAAAAACAACTCACCGCACCATTTAACCTTCCAGTTCCTGTTTGGGTCCACTCCTCTGCAGTGGAACTTACGGTTTTTGGAGCGTGTTTTCCTCCAAAAACGATCCTGCAGAAAAAAGTTAAAGTTTAACCTCACCAATACATCCAGTGAGGAGGCTGTCTATTCATTCAGTTGACCTATAACCAGAGCTGCAGTAGAGCTAGGTGTTGTTTTCATTTTGTGAATCCATAATGATGTATATCAACGTTGATAAACTGTCTTTAAAATCATAATAAAAGTTCTAAAATATCTTTTTGCCCCCACTTTTTTCATAGAGCATGGTTTCGCTCCACGTTGGGCCATTTTTTTTTTTTTTCTTTATTTGTTTAAAGTTTTATACCCTCATTTTGCAACAGAAGGCTATGAATGAACTATAATGCATGTACTTTCAACCCTTGGCTGGCAAAGGGGCTATGAAATTTCCCCAAGGCAGCTATGAATCGATGCATGCTCAGAATGAAACATCTGTAGTAGACGGCTTTTTAAGGCATGAAAGACCCCAAACTGAATAAAGGTAAGAGATGACAGCACCCAAGAAATCACAACTAAAGTCAAATCAGGCCAACTAAGCAAATAAAACATGTTTTAACTAATAAAGCATGTATGGATTATATCTAAAAACATAATAAGCAGATTGCACTCCACTCCATGGATAAATAAAGGTTAAATTCAAACAGGACATTCCCATCAAACTGTTGAATCAGATAGATCTGGGGTCTGCCTTGGTTGGAAACTTACCAACAGATCTGAACATTAACTTCAACAAGAATAAAGTGTTAAAACTTCAAAAATCTGTTTTTCCGTAATACCAGACATGAAATGTGGTACAGTATGTCTCAGCCTTTAGAATGCAATTGACCAAACAGTTAGTACAAACTACTCTCATTTAACAGGTAATTAAAAAAAAAACAGAAAAATGAAGCTCTGGAAAAACAGGACAAGCCAAATGTAGAACACCCTGTACCGTGTTCCAGCTGAAGCGATATCCATCCACATTGAAGACGGGCATGACAAAGAAGTCAAGATGGTTCAGTAGTCGTGTCATTACAGAGTCATGCTTGTATGAGCTGAGTGCCTGAAACCATGCAAATAAATCAAAATTAGAGTAATCTGTGAGTTAGATAGGAAAACAAAGAAACAATACTAACAAAATCCTTCAAAAGCAAATATTATCCTTATCAGATATTACATTTTTGCTTCTTGCACCAGTATTGCCATTCTGTTATAAATGGTCTATAAAAAAAAAGACAACAAAAAAGGAAATATAAAAACAAATGCATTTCTTGTCTGAGATTTTTGGAGGTTTAAAAGCCAACAAGTAGGGCCCAAGCAGCCAAAGGGTTCTGGCCAAGGCTTAAGTCTTTAAGATAAAAATAAAGAAGTCACACTGACCTCCAGTGGTTTATCCTGGTCACTACACCATGCCTTAACATTATACTCTTGATCTTGTTTTACCCTCATGTCTGGAGTCAAAGTTTATTTTGGTTTCCTTTGCTTGATTTTCTGAATTAATTTCATCTCCTATTGTCTTTTCATTTTGCTGTCACTCTATAATGCAACTCCCCAGGTTAATATCAGTTTATGGTTTAATTTCATACAGTTGGTCATGTGTTTATGCCTGTTGAGTTGGTTTCTTGTTTTGCTCATGTGTATTACAACTGATGTAGCTCTTTTGTGTATTTTTCTGTGCTAGATCCAAATCTAGTTACTTATTGTATAACCTGTAATATGTCAGTCAATGAGAACATTGTTTATTCATTAAAGCAAATTTTTGGGTTTAGCGAATCAGTGATAAAAAAGATGCAGGTGGATCTAATACCCTTTGAAGTAAACATCAATCATAGCTCCCCTTACCAAGGTTTCCTCATTTATGTCTCTTTTGGGATAGGACCAAGACATTTGGTGTTAAGAGAGATTGCTGTCTTTTAAGTATCAAATTAAACCAAAAACTTTAATGTAGTTCAATGCCTCAAAGTTATTCTGATATCAAGTGGAACGATGTCTTAGAAACATTCTTCCCACCTGTTTTTTTTTTTTTTTTTTTTTTTTTTT